GGGTTATATAGGGGATAATGGAAATAAAATGGAAAGTACTATTGGGGTTTAGGGTTTAGGGGTTATATGGGGACAATGGAAAAGAAAATAGAAACTACTATAATGGGGTTGTATAGGGTTTGGGGATATATTGGGGATATTCTGGAATAATGGAAAAGTGGAAAATACTATTTAGGGTTGAGGGTCTGGAACCCGAGGGTTACATTACACTGCGATTTGAAGGAATCTTGCTGGTCCTCATGGAGGAACACCCGGGGACCTTCTGTGAAACCAGCAACTGTTGACACGCAGTGGCGTGCTGATGTAAGGCCGCGGCACCAGGTATGAAAGCAGGAGCGCAAAAACCTGCCAGTAGGTGGACGCGATCAGCTAAAGGCATGATTGGGTGGGTCTTCCAAGATTGGGATCCCCCTTGTGCAACCCAATATGTATACATACATATTCATACATATATATATATATGTAGACACACACGCGAAGCACGCGCTTAGGGTTGAGTACGGGGCAAACAGCGGGGCAAGGAGGAATTGTAACCTTTAAGCACAACGGTCCAATGAAGACGTAACTCTGTGCACTCGCAAGCAAATGTGGTTTATCTCAGATGCAATACCCGATCGGGACCCTCTTTTGTAAATTCTCGCTCTCAAGCTGTTAAACAAGGGAACTCCAATGGAAGGGCTCAAGGTTTAGGGACTATGCTTTATGCTTGTACACCTCTACATCAACCCTGGAATGCGCACCTTTCTGAAACCGCTATCTAAGGCTGAGAACTGACAGCTTCGCCTGAGATACAGTCTGAACTCCCCATGTCCGTTTAGTAGTCCCTATAACCGGAACCCTATACAATTCCCTATATAACGCCCTTAAAGAATTTAGACTTTATACACACCTGTTTTTGGATTAAGGGCCTGGGATTAAATCCCAAATTTAGGGAGGGAAGGCGGTAAGTCACGAAAAAGGGGAAGGCTAGGACTGCAACGGCCATCGAGGTCTGAAACATCAGCTACAATCTAAACTCCCCATATCCAACACAATAGTCCTTACAACACGTACCCTATACGATTCCCTATCTACTCCTCGAGTAATTTGAAACGGCCCGAGCTCTGCGGCGGGGTGTTGTGTGGGGCTTGTGGGTGGGGGCAAGTCCTGCAACCCTAAACCTTGCCACTTAGAGGTTTACGTGGTTCTCAACACTGCGTGAGTTCATCCAGCCAAAAGAGTTCTGAATCTTGGAATGCTAGTGTACACACAAACGATTTTCTGATACACCAACAAAGATACTCCATCGACTTGAGCGAAGCCTTCGCGAGACTGTACTGGGCGGGGGGGGGGCAGGGATGGGTCCAGCTTGAATCGAACACAAAAGGATGGAGGTCTTAGGATCTCCTGGTCGGGTCATCGGGTCAGGTCGACGATTGTGCGGGGGTTGGGATGGCCCAAAAGCGAATTTGTTGACCGGGAAGCAGAGCCGGAGCAGGGGGCCATCATGCCAATGAGGAAGGGTGTCCTAAGCCTTACATACGGTCACGCCCCGGCGGCCCCCTCCCCCCCCTGGTACGGTGGCTATAATCTAAGCTAAGCATTAAATCACGGTCTGGGTCTTGTGGGTTAAATTAAGGTTTAAACAAGTTTGTAGAATCTCTAGAGGATTCAGAACTTATTGCCCCCACCCCCACAGTGGCTTAAGTTTTGGGTCTTGTTGTTTACTTTATGTTTATCGAGGGATATAGTGGACTCATACTGTTCATAGGTTTATAAATGGTGCACAGAAGGTTTCAAGAAGGTTTACTGAGGGTTCATGGTTCTATAGAAGATTCATATAAGACGAGGGCCACCCCGATCCGTGTGAATGTTGGGACTTTTGACTGAAGGGACCCAAAGTGGCGACAGTTATCAGGATCGCGATGAGGACCGCCCCGATACCTGTGACTGTTGGCACTTTTGAAGCATGTTATTACGGGGGGTGGGGGGATACCATGGGGGTGGGGAGGGGCTGGGAAGGCAGAGCGCAGGTCATATATACATACATATATATATATGTATATGTAGATTTATATATATATATGTATATATATATATATATCATAGTCCTTATTATCAGGACACCCAAAATGGAGCAACTAATGCTGGTTTGGAGATCGTCCATTTGCATCCATGCATCACTTGAGCAGCGCGGTTTCAATAGTTGAGCCAAATTAAGTTCCATTCCTCTAAGGAAAGGCCTATACCAGAAAAGAGAGTACTGAACTTATCTTAGAGTCATAGGTTACCCCCTTAACTGCCCCCGCCAATTTGTCCCTGCTCATTAGGACTTTTCTTCAAATAATTAGGGCAGTAAGGGGGAACCTCAGATGGAGGTTAGCATGGGGAGGGGGAGTACTAGAGCAACCCATGATATATGGGGGACTCTAGTAAGTATCCCCAATCAAATACCTCAAGCCTAAACCCTAAACCCAACACCCCAAACACGAACCCCAGAACCCTTAACTGTACAACCCTAAACCCGAAAGCCCTAAACCCTAAAACCCTAAACCCTAAAACCCCAAATCCTCACTTGGGCTATGGCCAGTGAGCAGTGGGACGGTGCAAAGTTGACTGCAGCCTGCTCCGAGCACTTGCTGGGGTGTTAAGGGTTTACAGGGTTCACACGGTTTAGGGTTTAGGGTTCAGGTTTAGGGTTTAGGGTTTAGAGTTTAGGGTTTAGGATTTGGGTTTAGGATTTAGGGTTTAGGGTAAGCTACCAGGCTGGATTCCCTTCCGAGGTGCCAAGGGCTTGCATGGGCTGTAGAGGAGCTTCCTAGGGGTTGTATGGGGGTTCGGGGTTATGTTGCCATATTACGGGCATAGAGTGGGCAATATGATTTCATTGCAATGGCGACTTACCTTAGGTTCCTTGACAGCAAGTGAGCATCAGGTCTCTCAACTTGCTCCAGCATATATGAAGTCTGGCCTGAGCCCACCTCAGGTAACGATAGAGCACTATGGTCCCCCATAAGTAGATAGAATCTGGGGTATATGGGGACCTTATTAGAATATTCCAATAACAAGATAATGCAAGAGGAGCGCAGTAGTGGGGGCGGGCTCCTTTGCTTCGGGCTATTGGACCACTCTCCCAGGTGTCCCACTTCAAGTGGCACAATGATACGTGCCCCAAGAGTCGTGTCGCAGGGCAGATTTCTTGAAACCCCTCCTCTGCACCCTCAGAAACAGAACTGGAAGAGTTGAAAAATGGGCTACGAGGAGAGCGACTCCCCCCCAACACTAAAGGGGGGGGGGGCATACTACAACAACGGTAACTGCAAGAAGAACAAGCATAAAAATCCAGAAGGACAGCTATCATCATGTCATAACTCTACGATGATAACGGCAGGAACTGCTGAGGCAATCCGGTGCCTGCGAAACACCACCTTCTCAGCTTCGATGATATCTTCTTTGCTCCTGCACACAGCTTCTAAATTCTACGACTCCTCTTTCGGTGCCCTTGCATGGGGGGTTTCAAAAACTGATCGCCCTTTTGGAGGTCCCTATATAAAGGAAAACTGTAAGTATTGGAGTTTGGGCCCTCTATTTAAGGAACCCCTCCCCATATTCAGCTCTTGGGCTTCTGACTAGTTCCCTCGCACACTGCACCAGCATATGAATATTATAGTATAATATATCATAACATATGATAACATGTTATAAAATATCAATGTTTATCGTAATACGTTACGGTAAATGGTATATTATGGCAAATTATGGTATAAAAACCGGATGAACCGATGTCCAGCTCGTACCACAAGCATCTTTGAGGTCTTTAGTCCTTCGGCAGCAAGTCAACGCTGCTGGAAGCTACTGCAACGAGCATCTTGGCGCAGCGCAATCAACCATCTGTGGGCTGGATGTCATTACCAGGTCATCTAGACGGAGCCCGGCAACTTGCTGGGGTAAGTTCGTAAATCGCACGTCAAGGTTCAGAGTCCTCTTTTGAGTGAAGTACCTGAGAATCCGAGGACAAGGCACACACCTCTGGAACTAAGGTTGCGCAGCAGTGATGCTCATAGCAATCGTCCACTGCTGCGCCGTCAAGGCACACGCAATCAAACTCTCAAGCAGAAGAGCCAGTCAAGAATGCTTTCTGCCGCAAAATGAACTGTGAAGCTTGCGGGGACACAGCTTCATGGTCATATCGGAAGGTCACTCCATGCTCTTCTCCAGCATCGCGTCGGAAAGCTTGATACAAGCAAGTACGGCCTGCACTGGTCTCAAGAATTCCGAGCAGCAACATGAAGTGTACAGCGTATGGGTTTGATCTATTGCCGACTGTTAGGAACTGCCCGACAGCATCCGACAGCAGTGTGTTTTGCTTGCGCAGTATCCAGGCGAGCAAGAGCGATAGACAAGTGACAAGTCAGTGACAAGTGGCAGCAAGACTCTATGACGAGTTGCCAATGTGGGATCCAGCGCTGCCGAGGAATCAGAGAGAACATCGTGAAGCAGTGCAACCTGCATGAAGATGTATGAAGATCATCGCACAGGTCTGAGGAAGGCAGCTGCTTCTGTGGTGCTACTTACAGGAGGTCGACATGCTAGACTGCGAGATGTCGCTCCTTTCCGACTAGAGTGTAGCGTGAAGCTGAGGCATGCGCGGCCAAGTGAAAGGTCTGCTCCGCCGACTCCCAGCGAATGGCAGCATCAAGCACAAGGTCCACCTGGCTCTGAGGCAACGGCCAAGCAGTTCTGCGCAAAAGCTGACAGAGCTCTGCTGAGGCAAGCTCCACCCTTTTAACGACAGGCTGGTCAAACGCACGTCTAGAGTCTAGAGGCGTTGTCTGGGCACATGTGCAGATTTTGCAGCATACAGCCCCTGTTTCCGCCTCCGGTCTCACGGGACTTAGAGTATTCAGTGTTGCCGGACGCAACAAAATCGTACGCTTGCCTTGACCGGAGCCTTGGGGCCCTTGGCCTCCTTGGCCTCCTTGGCCTTGGCCGTCTGAAGCCTTGGGAAGCCATTGGTCCTCTCAGCGGAAGAAGCCTCGTCGCTTCCGCTGGCGCTCGTCCGGCGGAGGCTCCACAGGCGCCTCTGCCGCAGCCTGGGCCACCTTGTCAAAGTCTTCATCACCTCGGCTGTGCTGTGTGGAAGGCAGCCAAACGGAGCTCACCAGCGAAAGGAGCCGGCAGCATGCTAATTACTTGCCTAGAAGCTCAGATATCCAGGAACAACCGTCGGCCTTGCGTCTCTCAAGTTTTGCAACAGGCTTGCTGAATAGGCCAAGCACACCCGGCCTAGCACCAGGCTGCCCGAAGAAGTACATTGTCGGGAAGCCTTCGGGGAGGCAGCGTCTTGCAATTGGCCACGTTGCAAAGTACACGAAGCACAGATCACAAATTAAACAGATTGCTCTGAAGTCTCCTATGAGCGCCAACAACGTACGAGTGAGGTGACACGCTCCCCAAGATTCAGAGCTCTCTCTTGGACTGGACCCAACTGCCTTCAACTCCGAAGCGTCGCATCACTGGACCAAACTCCTCTGACCATCGGGTAGGTTCGTATCAAGCAAAGTGGTATGACGGGACCCCCCCAAAAGGGATTATACTTTTGGCGACATAATAAACAGCTGCAAGCTGGGCCTGAACAAGCGAAAGACCCACAGTGAGAGAGGCTTTTTGCGAGCTCACACCCCCTTCCTTGCAAGAAATCCTGTCCATGGGCCGTGCCGTGTGGCAGACCGTCCATTCGCTGATCTGCGATCATTCCTGGTCTCTGTCCGATAGCCTGTAGGAGGTGGCCTTCTGCCGCCAAGACATCCCAGGGCACAGCGTGCGCCGCTTCCTAGGATCGGCCTGCCGATCCAGCGGCACCAGCAGCACATGTTGACAATTTAATCCAGGAGATGGAACATCCCGGACGCAGCCACACATCACCTTGAAAATACCTGTGGGCTACAAAACTTGCCCAGCGCAACACTGCTGAGTCATCCCACACGTACGTAGTAGATTTCAATCAGGACAAGCCCTTCGGAGGTTTGCAAGTCCCAGGTTCTTCTCATCCATTTGAAGGTGATCCGGAATCTAGGGTCAAATGCTCCGGGACGGATGTAAGATGTAAGATTGGGAGTACCGTCGAGTTTGGGCATTGCCTCATTGCCTCCTGAAGTTTGCTGAGTGCTTAGACCCAGGTACGTAGGCTTAAGACTACAGGAACTGGGAACCGAATAATATATAAGCATCAAAAGGTCGCGACCGCAAACATGCCCCGTCAAATTGGCGTTCAGCTTTTCCAATGTACTGACGATATCAAACAGGCAAGCAATTTGTTATCCAAATTGGATGCTTGCACATTCCACCATATTCCAAGTATCCAGCTCCCATGATAACCCCGATAGCCAGCGAGGGCGCTTCCGGAAGCCCTACAACATGTCAGTCCGTGGCGTCGTAGATGAAGACCCGCAGAGGGGAATGGAGTAGCTTTGGCCCCTGGCATCGGTTCTGAAGATGACAATGGGTAGGGTGTGCGTGTGCGTGTGTGCGTG